TCCCCTCCCCTGAAAACCAGAGGCACACAAGGAAAAAAGACACATTGATGGAGTCCCAGAGCCGCAGCGACACAGCCATCAGCCAAGGAGAACTGTGAGGAAGAGGGAAGGAAAGATTTTTACCCCAGATCTCCATAGGGAATATGGGACGGTGGGCTTGAGACCTCTGGAACTGGGGAGCAGTCTATCTATGTCCCTATGAAGCCGCCTTTAAGAGAAGGACCTGAGTGCCATTGGAGGTACCTATCTGTGGAGCACTGACTCCCGGGAACTAGATAGGAGGTGTTGTTCTCCAACATCATTCAACATAGCTCTCACAATTTTTATCTTTTTTAAACGATTGACACTATGTCTTCATTAGAGAGATACAATAAGTTTCTTAGCACATATGGCAGGTGTTGCAAGCCTTGTCCCAGAGTTATGGTATTTGAACTATCAGGGAACAAAGTTAGCGTGCAAATGAGAAGGGCATACATGATGCTGGGGTCAAACTGATATCTTAAAAGTCTTTATGGTGTGTTTGTATATGTGTGTGCGTCCATACGACCTCAGGTGTAGGTCCTTGCCTTACAGGGTCCCCTGTTTCCACCGTCCATCTCGCTGTAGGAATGCTGTGATCACAGACACGTGATACTGAATTGATCTTTACATGAATTTAAAGATCCAGACTTGGGTCCTCATGCTTGCAGAGTGTCTCCCCAGCCCCTCCAACTGAGACTCTTGGTAACACTAATATCTCTCTCCAAGACTTTGGGTTTCTTCTTACACAGCTTGGGTGTTCTTGGCAATGTAATCACCCATTCAGTTTTTCTTCCTATGACAAGATATCCAGGGCTGGTATCTTGAGCCAGCACATGGAATGCAGGGTCTTGGGCTGTGTACCTATATTGATAAATCTGTCCTGGTGAGCAAAATTGTCGTCCTCCATTTACCACCCTCCTTTGTATTTTGGGAACCCTAAACAAGGTATGAGTGGTCCCCCTGCTAGACAGGAAAATGATTGGATCTCCTGAGAAGGGAAGGCCATCAGAGAGGGAGGTTTATGGATAGATAGTCTGGTTCATTTCTATACAACGCTATATGTTAAGATCAGTTTCTATGCTAGAGTCCAGATGAGGTAATCAGTTGCACTAACACTGGAATTGGGTAGCCCAGGATTAGTCTTTTGACTTTCATTCTTTCTCAGTTATTTGGCTGCCAAACAGAACTTCTTTGGTCTTAGAAGGCCTCTGACTTCTTACTATTCTGTGTGTTGGTGGGGGCTTTCTGGAATTAATTTGGTATTCCTTCATGTTAGTTGGTAGTTTTCACTGAGGAGTCATTAATTCCTCAGAGGAGCACATGGCGTCTTGAGTTGTTAGAGTTGGAAGTGGGTATGTGTGTCTGTTTATCTAGTGGGCAGAGACCAGAGATGTTGTTAGAACACTCTAACGCCTACAACAGAGAAGAATCCAGTTCAAAATGTCCATAGTTCAGATTGAGAAGCTGCTTACCACTGTAAGAAGTCTTAGTGTTCCATGGCTGTGAAAAGACACAGTGACCTCAAAGACCATGGCAGCTCTTATAAAAGAAAGCATTTAACTGGGGCTAGCTTGCAGTTTCAGAGATTAGTCCATTGTCATCATAGCAGAGAGCATGGCGGTATGCAGACATGCAGATTGGTGCTAGAGCAGAGAGCTACATCCTGACCTGAACACACACACACACACACACACACACACACACACACACACACACACACACACACACGGCCTGGGATGGGTTTCTGAAACCTCAAAGCTCACTCCCAGTGACACACTTCCTCCAACAAAGCCACACCTACTCCAATGAGGCCACACCTCCCAATCCTTCTCAAATAGCGGCACCAAGTATTCAATTATATGGGCATATGGAGCCATTCTTGGTCAAACCACCCAAAGTCACCGGCTGCCTCCGTAGCTCTTAAATTCCTGAATTCCCCACTGGTGCTGACACCTCCTTAGCAGCTTCCAGTTGTCAAGAAAGTATGAAGCTGTCGGTTGCTGTATGAGCTACAAGAGGGGACATCCCCGAAGTGTAGCACCTAGAGAGCTGGGAAGATGGATTTCAGCAGATAAAGCAGTGACCATGCAGACGATCTACAGAATGAGTTCCAGGTACACAGAGACCCCGCCTCAAAAGAAATTAAAAAATAATAATAAATAAACAAATGCAAAAGCAAGCATGAGGAACCAAGCTCTGTCCCTGTGACCTTGCTGGTACGTGATTCACCTCCGGGGATAGGAGGAACAATCTGCCTCTTCACCCTGGCCAGCCTCATCAGTGAGCTCCAAGCCAGGCAGAGAGCTTGTCCCCCAAAACAAGATGGATGGCCCCTGAGGAACAATGCCCAAGGTTGTCAGCTTCCACAGGTATTCAGACAGGGACACGTGCACACATGAGCATCTATACAGGTACATGTATACATTGCCCCCACCCCCAGCCCCACCAAATCCGCAGCATGACTCTAGATCTGTTAGTTCGTGGCAGGAGAGAGTTGAAACCAGGTCTCAAGTAGCCCAGAAACTCTGTCTGGTCTGGACTCATTATGTAGCCCAAGAAGGCAATGAACTTCTGATCTCCCTGCCTCCTCTCTCCTGCTAGGGCTACAAGCATGCTCCTCTACACCTGTCCTGTTTTGTCTTTAGCTGGCTTTAGTTTGAAAACCAGGGTCTCACTGTGTAGCTCAGGTGGGGTCTGAGTTCACCACCTCCTGCCCCAGCCTCCCGGGAGACGTGTGCACCACCACACCTGGGTGGGTTGATTTTTTTTTTAACATAAAACTGTATTGTATGTGCCCTTCAGTCATATATGGTGGCCAATCCCATCAATGCCACTTCATCTACCACAATTCCACCCCTTAGTAGGCTTTTGACAGCCTTGGGCTCCCATAAGGCCCGATGGTACCATACCTGATGCTGCCTTCTGCTCCTCAGGAGGGAGGTATGTAGGAGAGAGACTGGGATCTTGTCTGTTAATGGAGAAGCACACCCCCTCCTCAGGCGCAACCTGGTTAGCTCTGCAGCAGGCCACTTGATGCTCCCTCAATATAGGTACCCAGTTTTCTTCCTTACCCTTGTGGCCACAGTGACTTGATGGAAATCCAGTCCTGAATCCAACCTCTTCTTGTCTCTAGTGTCTATAGCTCTACACCTCTGGCCACGGGTCATTTCTCTGGAGGACTGATAGACTCTCTTGTCACCCGCAGATCACCAAGGTGAAAGCATGGGGTTCCCACCCTGTGTCATGGCTTCTTTTTACATGTCAATAAGATTAAAGGCCATCGTTTGTCCTTTGAACTCAGGTCTTGTTTGATCTAGGATATATATATATATATATGTGTGTGTGTGTGTGTGTGTGTGTGTGTGTGTGTGTGTGTGTGTGTGTGTGTATGTATGTATGTTCCTTTTTGAGATGGAGTCTCACTATGTAGCTCTGACTGTCATGGAACTGTAAACCAGGCTGGTGGCCTGGAACTCACAGGTATTCTCCTGCCTCTGCCTCCCAAATGCTGGTATTAAAGGCATGTATCATCACACCTGGACTAGGATATTCGTTTTAAGAGAACCTTGTTCTATTCTCAGAACTCTTAGGGGTGGGCAGCTCACTCCCCGGAAGTCCCACAGTTCTCAGCTGCCCACCCCCATTCTCTAAGCTCCATGGGCACACCCATGTCTTCCATTAGTCCCCTCCCCTGACTTGAGACCTTCACATTTTGTTCTGTTTGTCGTTTGAAGATACTTGTTCACCCAGCATTCTTTTTTAGCTTAATGGTCAGTGGAGGGTTGCTGTTTTGCTGTTACGGCTTAGCGATGCATCTGAGTGTCAAGTTAACGAGGGAGGGATCAAGTTGGCTTAACTGTCACCTTGACCACAGCCTAGAATCATCTGTGAAGAGAACATTACTGAGGTAATTAATTATCTCCATCAAGTTGGCCTGGTGGGCATGTCTGAAGGAGATCGTCTTGACCGTTAACTGATGCAGAAGACCCATCATGGAACGCACCATCAGCACCATCTCCAGGCAGGGTCCTAGCTGAGCCAGTAAGCAAGGACCCATGCTTTATCCTCCTTGCTTTTGACTGTGGATAGGATGCCTTAGGCTCCTACTTTAACCAGGATCCCTTTTATGTCCACGACAAACCCCCTTTGCCTCCAGAGTTGCTTTTGGCCAAGGTGTCTTATCACAGCAGGAGATGGGAAACCAACACAACTGCCTGTCCTGTCATCTGACTCCCGTCTGGTAACACCCCACCCCTCACCCCCACCCCCTACCCCACTCTGCGCATCCCATCCTTACCCTCTCATTTCCTCTCTTTACTCTCTCTTCCTCAAGTTACCAAGTCTGCCTGTATGTATGTATGTATGTATGCATGCGTGCATGCCTCCATGCCGGAAGAGGGCGCCAGATCTCATTACGGATGGTTGTGAGCCACCATGTGCTTGCTGGGAATTGAACTCATGACCTCTGGAAGAGCAGCCAGTGCTCTTAACCTCTGAGCCTCCTCTCCAGCCCCAATACACATTCTTTTAAAGCATTAGAGCCTTTCTTTCTTGACCCTTTCCCCACCTAAGTTAAGCTGCTGAGCTAAACACAGCCAGGCACGTTGCTTTTCCCCAGCCCCGCCCACAGCGGGACCTTGTGAGCATGTGTGTGACTGTAGCCTGTCACCCATTTGTCCTCTGGGGCTGTGCCTGCCCTGGAAAGGCTATGTGGCTCTTGCCAGGACCTGCTGCAGAGTCAGCAGTTCAGTAAGCATCGGTCTGGGTAATCTTTTGGAGGGCAGGGCAGCTGGGGGTGGGGGGACGGCAGAGCCGCGTGGCGGACCTGAGGGGCTATGTAACTGTAGACCCATGAAGGATGCAGGCTGCAGCAAGGCAGTGCCAGAGATGGGTGGGGACTGATGCATTGGGGATGAGCTTGAGGCCCACAGACTCTCTGGCTGACGCCTGGCTTGATTCCGCGTTGTCTTCCTCAACAGCAGCTGCGACTGGCACATCTGCTACGACCAAAACTGCAAGCAACACAGCAGATTCTCCTACCGTCCCGAGCAACCAAGACCCTCCAGCCGCAGAGAGCAGCACAGCCTTGACAAAAACCACTGGTGGCCCAGTGACAACTACGCTTTCTCCAGCCCAGCCAGCCACTACATCACCCAAAGGGGTAGCCGCCCCAAGCCAATCTCCAACACTTGCCTCTACGTCGCCCACAGGCTCCAGTGGTAACCAGAGTGGTGACAGCAGTACCACGCCTCCCAGTGGCTCCCAGGATGTCAAGACGAACACAATAACACCAGCCGGTAGCACCAGCCCCACTGGTAACGACGGACATCCAGTCTCCCCTGGAGGCAAGAACGACAGTGTTACCACAGCCCCAGCAGCCGCCCAGGGGAGCGGCCATCTAACCACCAAAGCTTCCTTCCAGCCTCCCAGCCCCTTAACTACCTCAAAGGCTCCTCCTGCCTCTGCAACAAACAGCACAGCAAGCTCTCACCAGCCTCTAGCTACTCCTTCACATACCACAGAGAGCCCTTCTACCGTTGTTTCCAACAGTTCTGACTCCGTGTCCAGCTCCAACTTCTCCGTGTCCCCAGGGAAACCTACCACAAACAGTAAGTCATTCCTTGGCATTTTCACGTCTGTCTGTTTGTCTGTCTGTCTGTCTGTCTGTTTTTTTGAGACAGGGTTTCTCTGTGTAGCCCTGACTGTCCTAGAACTTGATTTGTGTAGAGCAGGCCACCCTCAACCTCAAGAGATCTGCCTGCCTCTGCCTTTCAAGTGTTGGGATTAAAGGTGTGCGCCACCATGCCAAGGCTGCTTTTGTTTTTCTTAAGAAATGTGACAGGCTGGCTCAGTGGGTCAGAGCACCGGGTGCTCCTACAGAAGACTCAGGTTCAAGTCTCAGCACCCATGTGACATTTAACAACCATCTGTAGTCCTCCGACGCCCTCTTGTGGTCTCTTTGGGCACCGTGCACATGATCCTTAGACAAAATATGCAGGTGAAACACTAATACACAGAAAAGAAATGTTAGAAAAGACAGAGAAACTTGGCAGTGCATTTTTCCCATACTATAGCTTGGCTGGCATTTAGAGGTGTACGTTGCATTTTAAACACTGCGTGTCTTCTGCCTTTATCAGTCCATGGGCCCCCTTTTTAGCAATGACTGAGGCTGGCAATGCATGGACTCAACCAAGCCAGAACCTTATGTGGTTGTGGTGGTGGGGGCTTGGAAAACTCTAGAACAGTGCTTGCCAGACCTGTTTGATAGCAACCCACCATGAGAAACACGTTTTCAAATAAATGGAAATAAATAAATAAATAAATAAATAAATAAATAAAGGCCAGTGCATGGCCTAGTTAGGAAAAGCATTTGCTGTCTTAACCTGATGACCTGAGTTGGATCCCAGGGACCCATATGGCGGAAAAGCAGGGCTTGCCTGCTTTCAGGACCTGTGGTGTGTCATGTATACTGATGTTGTCTATCTTCCTCCCCTCCTCCCCTCTCTACCTCCCTCCTTTCCTTCTTTTCCTGAGACTGTCTGACCAAGAAGGAACTTGCTATGCTATGAGGCCTGTCCTGGAACTCACAGAGATCTGCCTGCCTCAGCCTCCCAAGTGCTGGGATTAAAGGCGTGCGCCACCACCATCCCATTTTTATCTCCCTTCGCTCACTTATTTTTAAAGTGCCAGTCTTAACTAGGCACATGGGTGTCAGAATGTGTGACCAGCTCAGGAGCCTTAAAATTCTGACTCAGCTGCTGCGCATGAGCTGGGAGACAGTGGCCACACCCTGTAGCAGGTGCACAGGCTCAGGGTTCAAATCCCCCACACGCCCAGCTGTGTTACGTGACCTTGGATGAGTCACGGAGTCTCGGTTACCTTGTTGATAAGTAGGGGGCTGTGAAGTTCCATCCTAAAAGAGCCAGTGTCTCTGAAATCCCCCCGTCCCCCAAAGCAAGTGCCCTGTGTATGTTAGCTGTAGCCTGTGGCTCGGGTAGGTTAGCTATGCCATCATGTCTGTGGCCTCTGCTCGGTCCTTACCTTCTCAGAGTGACTCATTGTGTACCACGGCCCAGCACCCAGTTCTTGATTCCTGCCTTGCGTTCCTCCATAGCCGCCGGCTTCGGCTTGTGTGGCAGGTGCGGCTGCTGTCTTCAGCCTTTGCTCTGTCTGTTCCAGCATCGCCGGGCACCTCCAAAGGGACTCCTCCTCCCGTCACCAGCCAGACGCCCGGCTTCTCTACCCTGCCTTTATCCACACCACGGCAGACTACAGGGTCTCCGGTGGGAACAGAGATCACGCCTACTACCCAGGCGTTCACACACTCCAGCTCTAATTGGACTCCAACAGCCCCTCAAGGGCGCAGCACACCCTCCCCCATCTGGACTCGTAGGGATTACAAGGTAATTCTAGCAGCAGATGGGATAAGCCCAGACTCGAGGGATGTGCTCCTCTGCCCCACGCGGGGCCCCAGCTGGGCACTTCCGGTCTGCGCAGCCAGGTACTTCCCTGGCTCTGAAACCGACCGGCCACGCCCTCACCATTCCGTGTGTCCCTCCCCTTGTCACTCACTCCCACCAAGGGGAGAATCAAAGATCAGCTGACTTTGTGCCTGACCCTCCATCTTCTGACCTCTTCCAGCTACAATGTGATGCCGCCATAACGCCCAGTGAGGAACTACTCATCCTGAACCTCACAGGAGCCAGCCTTTGTGTGAGTACACACGCCCGAGCCGGAGCCCACCCCTCCGTCCCGCCGCAGTGCATGGACTGCTTCCTCTAAGCCAGGCCCTGCACACGGACTGTTCCAGGCGCAGTCCCCTTGAGTTTTGATGCGCCAGGTAGTCTGAGAGTCGGGAGACCCTGGTGGCAGTTCCTGTGGCTGTGTGTGTGTGTGTGTGTGTGTGTGTGTGTGTGTGTGTGTGTGTGTGTGTGTGTGTGTGTGTGTGTGGTATTTGTAGGTTTGGCTGGGCCATGTGGCTCAGGACTATAATTTCAGCTACTTAAGAAGCTGAGGCAGGAGGGCCGGAGTCAGGGTTGGCTACAGAGTACCTATATATATTTGAGGTCTAGAGATAAATTTTGGCTAGCACGTGCGAGGATTTGATCTCCAGTGCGTCAGAAAAGAGTTAAGTCCTGACTAATGACCCTCGTCCTGATCGTGGTTTCAGATTTCCTGGACCCTTGCATGTGTAAGAGGGTGTGACAATGTATGCAGCTCCCTTCACGTTGCCAGGCTTCTGGGGCCCAGGGCTCCGTTAGGCTGCACAGCACAGTCGCTGACCTCCTCCGTACAGGCAGTGGCTGGCTTGTTGCTGCCCTCTCCTGGCCGGTGCCCATTTTTGCAGCCGCTCCTGGGAGCAAGGACTGAGCAGGGCTTGATGGCTCCTCTCTAGGATGGAGACCTTGGGCTCTGCTGTTATTTTCTCCCAGGGGTTCTGTTCTGAGGACACTTGTAGAATGAACTATAGAGGTGGGAGTTTAGCCATCAGACGTTCAGGAGAAAACAGGGATAGCACTGAAATTGCCCCTGGGATGATGTTTAGGCTAGTCTGTAGTTGGTGGGAAGCATCCCTCCCCTTTTATAGGGAAGGAAGGTCGAAAGTGTTGGAGCCACTCCCGGTGATGGAGTCAAGTTCTCCTGGGAAACTACACATGGAAAGTGTAGGTGGCATGAGGAGACCTGAAGGCAGCTGGGGTCCAGATCTCATCCGGAGTCAGGAAAGGAAACAGCGCGTGCACGCCCTGACCTGGCAGGAATGACTAGAGGCCCACACCCCACACCCACACTCCACACCCCACCATGAGCCCCCACACCACACCATCATCCCCACACCCCACCATCAGCCACATTTCCGTGTTCTTTCCGCTTAGGTCTGTGTGAGCAACCCAATGGACAGCCCCAGAACCCCACACTGCCATTCAGTGTGCCTTACTCTCTGTCAGCCTGTTTCTGGCCATAGCTTATGGATGGGAACAGGGCCACTATCTGGGGGTATTTTCTGTCTTGGAGAGCTGTGCGGCCTTCCCACCTGAGCACAATGGACACCGGGGGCTAGGGGACAGTAGGTTTGAACTGCGGCAGTAATGAGGTGCCGCACGCTGGTTTAGCCCACTCCCAGCCGAGACCTGCCACTGCAGAGCCCCCAGGGAGAGCTCTCGGGAGGAAAAGGAGCCTGGGAGAGGTGACTCACGGACAACACACACAGGCTGAGGGCATGGGAGAAGCTGAAGCCGGTATAGAGGCTAAGGAGGAAAATGCAAAACTTGATCCCTGGCAGCGCCGGTGAAAATACGGAGCGGACTGACGGGAGGAGGGGCAGCCTCAGGAGCCCCAGCTGTTGTCGCAGCCTTGGGGATCACCTGTGCTCTCTTGAACCGCAGGAAGGGGGCCCCCCGGATGAGAAGCTCGTGGAACTGCTGTGCCATTCAGTGAAAGCCTCCTTCAAGCCCGCTCAAGACCAGTGCACTCTACAGGTGGCCCCTGTTCTGGAGAGTCGGGCGGTGGCCGTGAAGAGAGTCATTATCGAGAGTGAGTGGGGGGCCTGTGTGGGCGGGAGTGTGACAGAAAGACCTGGCCTGGGGGTGGGTGGCGCCAGGCGCCATCCCAGGAGCCATCCTCCCCTCTGTGGCCCTCTGGGCCGGACGCCGGAGGCAGCAGTCTCTCCCTCTCCCCCACAGCGAAGCTTTCTCCTGAAGTCGTGTTTGAGCGTTTGAAGGACAAATGGGATGACCTGAGAGAGGTGAGTAGCTTTGTCCCGAGTCCAGTGGCCTCTGGTGTAGAAGCGCGCTGTGATCCTTAGGCCCAGATGAGTCGACACAGCCAGTGGTAGCACAGGGGCGAAGGACCCGCCTGGAAGGGCGGGGTGGAGCCAAGAGGCCCGAACTTGGTTCTCTGTCATTCAAGTTGTGTTTCTCGGCCAGGCGGGGGTCAGTGACATGATGCTGGGGCGGGAAGGACCACCAGAAGCCAACGAGGACCGCTTCAGCCTGCCACTCATTATCACCATCGTCTGCATGGCTTCCTTCCTGCTCCTCGTCGCCGCCCTCTATGGCTGCTGCCACCAGCGCGTCTCCCAGAGGAAGGACCAGGTAGGCATTCCGTCCTCAGCCAGGGAGCCGCCAGCCCAGGGAGCGCGCACCCAAGCCAGGGAGCCGCTAGCCCAGGGAGTGCGCACCCAATCCCTCCACACAGGGAGTGGGCCTGGTCTTCCTGAGAGGCTCTTGTCCCCCACTGCAAGGTCAGCTTGTCTTGAACACTGGAGATTCACTGTGGAGCAGGGTGTAAGCCCTGGCTCTGCCCATATCCCGTGTGTCACTTCAAGCCTGCAGCCTTGTCGTCAGCACAGCTGCTCTGGGGACTTAGGGGTAGAAATGGCTCCTCTAACCGAACCTTCTTTCACCTGGCCTGCTAGAACCGCCACCTTCTCTGGTGTGGGGGTGTACATCTGTAATCGCAGCACTTGGGAAGCTGAGGCAGGAGGACCACATGTTTGAGGTCAGCCTGGAGTGCACAGCGTGACCCTGTCTCACACACATAATGACCACCTTTATGGTACCGTTGTGCTGTGGTCTCAACCCTAGCTGCAGACTACTGTGGGGACACGGAGCGAGTTCCGTGCCTGGTGACCTTAGACACTGCATGAGGCGTGAGCGGCAGCGGTGGCGGCAGCGGCGTGTGTCCGTGGCTAACCATTGTCAGGCCTTGCCGCCTGCAGCGTGCAGGGTCATAAGGCTCACCACGCTCATCTGGTCAGCTGGTGTGAAGGGCCCCCTCCCCCTTTGGGCGCCCTGTTTTTATTATGAGTGAGGTAAGAACTTTGAGAGGTGTTTGAGGGGAGAGATGGAGACAAAAAAGAGCTTAAAGACAAAAAGTCTTTTAAAAAAATTCTCTCCACAGATTGCACTGGACTGAAGGTAGAGACCAGCTGATAATTTTGGGATACGGGGAAAGTACTCGAGAGATGGCCAGGTCTGGAGCCAGGGTGACCTCCAGAGCATCTGCCCCCCACAAATGAGCCTCAGGAATTTACTCTAGCCAACTTGGGGTCTGTGGGAAGAATGGGGGAAAGGTCTCACTAAAGCTCACTGCTGTCCAAAACTGCCTTCTTCCTGGGAAGAATGGGGGAAAGGTCTCACTAAAGCTCACTGCTGTCCAAAACTGCCTTCTTCCTGGGGTCTTTGTCTCCACTCTAGCAACGACTCACTGAGGAGCTGCAGACAGTGGAGAATGGTTACCATGACAACCCAACCTTGGAAGTGATGGAGACTCCTTCGGAGATGCAGGAGAAAAAGGCGGTCAACCTTAACGGGGAGCTGGGGGACAGCTGGATCGTACCTCTGGACAACCTGACCAAGGATGACCTGGACGAGGAGGAAGACACACATCTCTGAGGCGGCCAGCCACCCGACAGCACGACAGAGCTCCAGACCACCCAAAGTGCCATTTGGACAGCGGGGAAGCTTCCCACTGGAGGAGGAAGAGACTGGGGCGGGAGAGCGGACTCCGAGGGCTGCCCCCTCCCGGTCCCCGAAGGGCCTTAATTTTCCCTTTTCAAGTTCCACAAGTCACACTCTCTGTCCAGTTTCCTCATGTATAATAACCCACTTGTGCCTGAGCCCAGAGCCACTGGAGGACGAGAGGAAGATGGAGAAAGAGCCACGGAAGGGGCTTTGGAGAGAGAGCCATGCTCTCCTCTAGTAAGTGACAGAGACCTTGGGGTCAAGTGACATTTGTTTTCCCTCGGTCTGGTGCTTAGCTGCACCAGACCACACCACTGTGTTCCTTCTGCCCCTCCTCAAGGCTGTTCTGGGCAGGAAGGATACTTGCAGGTGGACCAACGAGAAAGAAAAACCGGTCCCAACTGTCTCAAGGACAGGTCCCAAGTTTCCATCCCCTATAACATGGCTCCGCCAGCTTGTACCCCACCTCCCATGATTCCGTCTTTTGGTCCACCATTTCCCAGGGCACGACTTCGAACCTCCTGTGGTAGATTCTGATTTCCTTGCCTCTGCTTAGTGGGATTGAGACTTAACCCACACAGGCCTCGCTCCCCAATGGAGGTCTGCCGCAGGGGTGGGTAGGCAGGCAGAGAGAAAGGGGGTTCACGCGCAGATGGCTTCCTCACGGCAGCTGATGCCATACTGACACGGGCCCATCCCCCAAGGCACTCCTAGAAAATACTCCCCCGATGTCCTCTGGCCTTCTGCTCCCTCTAGCAACAATCTGCAGTAGCTACTGAAAGCAAGATGTTCCCCTTCTCTTGTTCACTGCCCCACTGAGGGAGGGGATGACTCCTCGAAACCCAGTGTCCTAGAGCAATTGTCTAGGGACAGGCCTGTCCTGGCACCCTGACTGGTCCCTGACAAATGTGTCTCAGTAGACAATCAACCGAAACTACCAGGCATCCTTGTTGTGAGAATTGTGTGGTGTGCGTTTGTTTAGTCCAGCTCCCCACTACCAGAGGCCAAAGCTCCGCTCGAACACGGGCGATGCTGTTAGCCTCTTTCACTAGTTTTCACCCTCCTTTGCCGTGGAGAAAGGCAGGCCCAGAGCATGTAGTTAAGGTGCCTCCAGCCACAATCCCAGCGTGGAGCCAGGCTCTTGTTTCCCGTGTTCGTAGCGGCACCCCAGCTGTCGAGTTTCCGGTGGCATTTCAGGGAAACACAAAGCCACTTGGCCTAGTACCTGGCACAGGAGTTTTACAGGCTCAGCAATCGAGCGGCCATGTGGAAGGCTGCTGAGGGCTGGAACGGCAAGGTTTCACCTGGTGTTCTGAGAAGGGGGAGCCTGTGGGGAGCTTTGAACATGGTTTCACCTGGTGTTCTGAGAAGGGGGAGCCTGTGGGGAGCTTTGAACATGGTCTGTTTGGTTCTTGGGCATAAATTCCTGGGACCCATTCTCTGCTCCGGAGTAGCTTGTTTTTAAAAGACAGCGGGGGGGGGGGGCGGGGAGGATGGATGACAGGTGTCCTCTGCCTAAATCCACCTTTACAGCCATCACCCTGTGACACTCCCTGGGCAGCAAAGGCCGTCAGAAATCAAGGCAGGCTCTCAGTGTGAGCTTGGCAGCAGCTGGACGGATGCTAACAGGAGGCCCACAGCCCCGCGTGGCTGCTTCTCTCAGACTGCAGGGGATGGCAGAGAGCAGTGCCAGGGAAATTAGGTCGGCTTGCTCCCTCCTGCAGTGGGTCTGCTCTACCATAGCCTGTGTGAGACTACTTCAGTGTCACAGTCACTGGGACAACGGCATTTGACAGAGAGCAAATTCTATTTCTGCAAAATGGTCACAGGTTGCAACCCCACAGCCCCTCAGAGATGACTGCAAGATTACATAAAGGGTACCTGGGCTGGAGGAATCACCATGGCTCTGTAGGGTAGTCCTTGGAAGCTCTCACTAGGCTGGTCCAGAACTCCCTGTGCTCCCAAGTGTTGCCTTTTAGGACTGGTATCAGGCCCCAGCTTGTTCTTACTGCTGGGACATCAAACAGGACACACGGCTAGCATCTATAACAGTCGTCTTGCTTTGTTTTCACTGGGTTTTTAGAGCTGTTTGTAACTCAGAGTCTCTGGCTGAGAAGAGGAGGAGGAAGGGTTCTCAGCAAGACTTTTTAAACCAGCCGTACCAAAGAGAAATCAGAACTCTATTTCCGTGGCAGATGGTTTTCCTCGCTGCAAACCCAAGGGCCTGATGATTGCGACTGAACAAATCCAGCAGCTGCTGTGCTGCTGTTGCTGCTGCTTGAGTGGAGAAAGGAGAGACAGCTAAGCAATCTGTATCTCAGGGCAGGATCCAGGCTCATCTGGGAGACTCAGGCTTCTAACCTTCATCAGAGAAAGCTAGCGGGCGTTTTGAGCTTTATCAGGTTTGGCCCCCTTTAGGACAATATACTACTGTTGAAACTTTGAATATACTACTGTTGAAACTTTGAAGCGTTAAGTTGAAGTTGACAAGGTGTATGCATATTTTTGACACTGTAAATACAAGGGCCATGAGTTTGTTTCCCCTGTACTACTTTCAGAGAGTAAAATTTGGGAAAGCGTTTGATAGCTAAGAGACAGCTAAGTGGTGTTTCTCTCCACAAGAATGTAAATGTCTTTTTAGTAGACACGACTTTTCAAAAAAGAGAACTATAACAAAACAGGTTGGTAACAAAAAAAGTATTTACTTTGTAGACAGGGCATTTTAAATTTTTAAATATGATCCTTGCTCCTCCCCAGCCAAGTCTTAATCCTACTTCAGTATGGGCTGGAGTTCAGAATGTGTTCATCGGGTTGATGGTCACAGGGAAAGGGTTTGGAAGATACAGTTCAACCTTCCTACAGGAAAACACATCCCAAGCCACAAAGCCAATGGGTCAAAACCAACCAGGGACAGAGACAGGGTTAAAACGGAGCCCCAGACTGCCCACCCTGGCTTTGTGTTCCTCGAGAACAGGGATTAGAGAGTGCAACTCACAGGTTCAAGGCCAACACAGGACACCACCGATGCTTCTCCACACTTAGCCTGGCAGTGCTGGAAAGGACACAAGGGACACCCAGCCATGCTGCTGGGCTCTGGAATCATTTGGGTCTGAGATGTAAATAAACGTTGTTTGGGGGGAGGGCGTTGTTTTTTCCTCCCTAACTATTTTGAAAACTCTCACTGAGGAATGTCCAATAGGACAGGGGTTAAAGGGACTACTGCAGAGCAAGGCGGAGAGGGCAGGGGACCCCTGTAGTGGGGCTTTTGCCACTGTCACCTGCTTGTTCCCTCAGGTCTGCAGGATCACCACCTCTCATGGGGCCTTTTTGTTTCTTGGTGAATGTCAACCAGCTTACCCAGGAGACTGGGGGAGCCTGTGCTAGTGGACAGGGGTCTGAAGTACACTGGAATTTATTGAGAAACTTGTTTGTAAAGACTATAGTTAACTATTGCATTTTCTTATAAAATATATTTTGGAAAACTGTACACTGTCAATTAAAAGGCTTTTGTGTAAGTTGGTTCAGGTCCTAGTGTGTTGTTCTGGCTTAAATTCTCCACCCACGTCCCTGAGGACATCAGCTACTGCCTCTGTCTGCCTATCCACCCTGCTGCCTTCTGCCAGTAGAGGGGAGAAGGGGGAGATGCTGGAAGACAGCAGTGGAGGGTCCCAGGGCCATGCAGCACCTGAGAGGACAGGACCTCATTTCTCCTGTGCACTGGGTTACAGACCTGTCACCCTCTAACCCCCACCCCCAATTCTCCCGGGATACACCTATAAGTGACCGCCATCTAAGAAAGATGCCACGACTATTGGGCATGGAAAACTGTCCACAAGATAAGAACAAGTACGTTAGAGAGCGCTGCTCTGGCCGTTGAAGGTTGCTGCAGAGGTTTGAACCTGCCTTTTCTCCAGGTGCACACTGAAGGAGGCAAGTGATGGGCAGGAAGATACATTTTTTTCAGGGCAAGCTTGAAGGAGGGAAAGGATCGTCCTGCAGATCTCACCCACATTCTTAGTCTGCCTCCACCTCGATGGTCATGTTTTCATGACTTACAGGAAACAGCGTGGTACATGGTCAGCTGCAGACTTCCTCTTTTGGCCTGTGCTCTGACTCCATCTTTTTCTCTTCATCCTGGATTCTTTTTCCCACACCACCATCACGCGTGAGCTCTAACAACAGACTTCATTTCTAGATGGTATCCACAGTCACCGTGGGTTTTTATTTAGTCTTCGTGTGGTGCTAGGCAAGTGACACCCAGAGGGGTGGGCCAAAGTTAGGTACAGGGTATTTTGAGGTTAACCTCATGAGTGTGCCAAGGATACAGAAAAGAACCAAATGCCAGGAACTCCCACAGGACCGTGGCCCTGCTGGGGCACACTGTTCTGACGGTGACTCACACTTATCACAGCCCACAAACGAGCTCTAAGGCTCCGCTCTCTTCCTGAGTGGGTCACTGACCTGGCTCCCAGCCCTCACAATCCAGAAAGCCTCTCAGCTGTCCAACTTTCCCATTCTGTTAGCTCCCCCCCCAAAAAAACCACCTCTTCTGTACCCCAAATGGGAAAAGAAAATGGGACCGGCTTCCGAGTGAACACTCAGCACAAACACCGAGCGAGCATCTTTCACAGGGCTGATCCTCTGAAAACCACAGGCGCCCCGTGAAGATGGTCTGCTGCTAAGACTCACTTGCAGAGCCGAGACTGGTCCACAGCACGCGCCGGTGTCCGGTGGATGTGGAGATGAAAACAGCATCCCTAACTGCTCAAGGGGCAGCTGTCAGCTTTACCTGGCTTTTCTCTCCCCTGTCGGGTGCCTGTGGTGAGGGCGTATTTGACGACTGCTCCTGCTTTTCCTGGCTGAGCGCACCCAACTGTCCCTGTGGACATCAAAGGTCTGCAGAGCAGAAGGGACGGGAGCGCCCAGCCGCCTCACGCCCCCTCTCTAAAACAGGAAAACCGCTTAAGAAACCCAGAGGGAAGAGCAGACAGCAGAGCGGCCCAGGCTCCAGCAGACCCGTCTGCTCTGTTTTCCAACTGAACCTGAAGGATGCTGCGTCCGTTCACAGGGGCAGCGCTCCACTCCCCCCATTTCCGTGACCTCCGGCTGTCACTTGGGAGAAACGACGCGTGTAGACACATAAAACTGCAGCTTCGATCTGCAGGCCTGCGCTCGCTGGACAGGGGCAGTTGTATCATAAAGTGGTTTTGTTTACTGCTGTCTTCCTCACAGGAGATAGTGACAAATGTGTCAGTGTTCCTCATTTTGATCCCTTTAATTCTCAGGAGGGTTAACCAAGGAAAGGGCAATTTCTTACCTTATCACGGTACCTCACGTCTTCCTGTTTTGAGAACACAAAGAAACATTACTTCTGAGCCACACTAAAGTACACCCTAGAAATGAAAGCTGCGCAGGAAGAGCTTGACTCTCAAGTTAAATTTAACCCCTACTCTGAATACCATGCAGGCCCCTAAAGCCTGGAGCATTTGAGCCCTAACAGATGACAGGTGGAGACCAGCCCCCTCCCCCCATTATAATAACCCAAGCTCTCCCTCGGTGTATTTCTGAATCTACTACTTAAGATTCTCCTCTACAGCAGGGACAGAAATCTAGACTTTTCCAAACTCAGTAGTACCGATAGATTCTCTCCCTTTACTGTTTCCCTACAGTTAATTTTGTTTCAGTCTAGTTTCCCTGTACTTTGAAACTAGTACAACTAAACCCCAGGAAACAAGTTCAAACTCACAAAAGACGATAAATTGCTGGCTGCCAGCAGCATACTAATTTTTTTCCCCAATGGAACCATTTGCCAGTGTTTTTCGGAGGAGCATGCCCTTTACCTCAGTACTGTCTCAGAGGAAAACACCCAAGGCCTCACTGTCTGTACCCAAAAGCCTGCATCACACACTCCAGGGAAAACTGGTTCTTGGTGCTGGAGACATGGCTCAGCGGTTATGAGCACTGGCTGCTCTTCCAGAGGATCCGGGTTCAATTCTTAGCACCCATATGGCAGCTCACAACTGTCTGTAACACCAGTTTCAAGGAATCTGATACCTTCATACTAATGCACATAAAATGAATTAAATAATTACAAACAAACAGGGTCTCATGGAGCTCAGGCTGGCCTTGAAATCCTATGTAGCTAAGGATGACCTTGAATTCATATCCTCCTGCCTGCCTCCTATGCATTGGGATTATAGTCATGTACAAACCCCACTTAGAGTTTATGGGGTTCAAATCTAAAGCCTCCTGCATGCTAGGCAAACATTACTATCTCCAGACCCCATAAATGCTTTAAGTTTCAAAGTAATTTTGACAAACACAAGACATTATGTAGTATTCATATATAACTTTTTATTAAGAAAATGAGCAAAATACATTCTTTCTTCATATGTACATCACATACAACATAGTGCTACAACTTATATTCCGCAGAGATTATTCATTTATTTAGTCACAAAGTAGTGATAACATGTACCAAACCTGGAGTCTAAAAATTACTTTCACCATAAAGAAGTCCTAGAAAGTCCACACGGATTGAATAAAAGGTAAATCATCGAGGCTCGTGTAAGCCTGGGGATGGACGATTGCAGAACTCAACAGAGCCAACACCCGGATGCTGGAAGAGAAGTGATCGGCCCCAAGAGGGCCGTTTACATGTTCTAGCTCACACACACTGCGCTTCCAGGTAGCTTGTAACGGTTCTAACTCTACCAATCCAACTCCTGTACTGCCACAGGAAGGGGTGGAACATTTCTGACTCTACCAATTCAATTCCTGTACTGCCACAGGAAGGGGTGGAATGTTTCTGACTCTACCAATCCAATTCCTGTACTGCCACAGGAAGGGGTGGAGCACAGAACCCAACAAGGTGAGTTTCTCCTCCCACACCAAGAGGAGGGGTCTAATCTAAAAATGGAGGTGCCAAACTTGGAAACCTTCTGGCTCCTAGCTGGTGTTTACACGTTGCTTTTTAGGCATCGGTTTAGCATGATAAGGAGCTCTTACTCTATGGAAATGAATGCCTCATAGGCTGTTTATGTTGTATTCCCTTTGTTTTCAGCCTTTTATTTTTGAGTGTGGGTTTAATTAAGGGCATATGAAATGGTCATCACCAACAGAAGTCTACTCATGATATGATTATGATCCATACTTGTGACAGCGCCCAACTGACATAAAAACTCAGTCTTAGAGATCAAATTTCCAATAACCCGAACAAGAAATGGTATCTCTCCCCAAAGTTGATCACTAAAAATACATAAGGAGACTACTTTTCAAACTTTATGGCAAGACAATGCTTGCGGAACATAAGCAGGGATAAGCTGTACACTTGCAACCTGGTCCTACCGGTACACCTGTAGCAGAAAACAGGCTGGAGAGACGGCTCAGAGGTTAAGAGTACTGGATGTACTTCCAGAGGTCCCAAATTCAATTCCCAGCAACCACACGATGGCTCACAACCATCTCTAATAAGATCTGGTGCCCTCTTCTGGTGTACAGACATACAGACAGAACACTGCACACATAATAAATAAATGAGTCTTCAAAAATAAAAATAAACCATTTGTCTAAAGGCCTTTCTTGGCTTTGTCCATTTTGATAATGAAAAGTAAGGGAAAAAAGGTTTAAAAAAAAGTAAAGGGTTAGCCACACCTGTTGGCACACATCTTTAATCCCAGCATTTGGGAGGGTTCTAGGACAGTCTGGGGCAGCCAGAGCTACATAGCGAGATCCTGTCTCAAAAAGACAAAGGGGGGGGGGGGGGAAGAGAAGGGTCTTGTCAGTCAGTAAATAAGAGCCTTCTTTCCTTATAGTTGTTTCCTAACTTTCTGTAATAGTCATAGTTTTAGAATTAGAAAATCAGTAAATGTTACTAAAATTCACAAAGGTTACTTAACACTCCCTAGCTTTCAGATAACCTGATCCCAGTGTGTCCTGGCCAGATGCCCTCGCTGGGAAGGGCCAGCTGCACACCACAGTAGGCCTGGGGAGATGAGGCTGTACCACCTGCCTCTACTGGAATCAAAGGCATATGAAACCACTGGCCCGCCACCACTGTGATCTTTCTTAGCCTAATTTCCACACAAACTTTGGCTCTGACACTCTTTATCAGAGAGCATCTTAATTTTCTGGTTCCTAAGTACATGTAACTTACAAAAGCAAAACAGCTGACTTTAAAAAAATAACGTTTGTCTTGTGTGGATTATAGGTATGTCTTCTCCAGAGACAGAACACTGCATGTTCTCAGTACTAAGAAAAAGGTCCTCGATGAGCGGTGGTGGTGCACGCCTTTAGTCCCAGCACTCGGGAGGCAGAGGCAGGAGGATCTCTGTGAGTTCCAACCAGCCTGGTCTACAAAGCTACACAGAGAAATCCTGTCTTGAAAAACCAACCAGACAGACAGACAAAGGTCCTCACCTTAGCTCCCTTGTACTCTTTGGGGGCTGCAGGGTCAGCTGTGCATAGCTTTAAAGTGGTGGTAAAGGAAGAGAGAAAATGTCTTCACTTGAAAAAG